TGGACAATTACCCCACGGACAATTACCCCACGGACAATCACCCCCCGGACAAATACCCCACGGACAATTACCCCCAATGCCATTTACCCTCCCGGACAATTACCCCCCGGACTCTCTCTATCTCTCACTTTCTCCCTCTATCTCTCACTCTCTCGTAAACAGAACAATAATTTTTGGAATGTTTATTCATTTACGAGAATATTGTTAAGTAATCGTCGCCAATCCTTCGCCCATATATGTCTGTTGGTATTACCCCTCGCCTATGTGTTTGTACTCATAGCAATCTATAGTAGTAGTAGTAATACATATTATATGTCCAGTATTTNAAGAGCAAAATCAAAGAAATTCAATCTAGAGAATCAAACTATAGACAGCGGACCGAACAATATTTGACGGAAAAACAAGAAACAAAAAAACAGGTAAATCAACTCACGGCCACAAATGACTATTTACGTCTGGAGCTGAACCAGCAACTATTTCAATCTATCGACGCAAGCAGAAATGTAAAAATGACAAACAAAGCACAATTCAAAAGTAGGATCAAGGGTACAACATTTTCAGACAACATACGCAAGTGTGTCATGGCGCTCCAAGGCGAGGCAGGCGTGGCCGCAAAACAATGCAGTGTGGTTATGCAGCTAGTATCCAAGCATTTATTTGACGTGGTAATACCGTCCGAGGATTTGCCTACTGAGCGCACAGCCCTAAACATGGCCGACGAAGGCCATTGGCTAAGCAAATACCAGGTTGGAGAAAGCTTGTTGTCCGAAAAGTATGACCTGCATTCAGACGGAACTACTAGGGACCATAAGAAGGTGATGGGGCATCAGGTTACTTTACACTCGGGCATCAATCTTTCTCTTGGATTCCGGCCGGTAGCCGTGGAGAACAGCGCGACGTTGCTAGATGTTGCCATTGAGACTCTTGACGAACTCGGCAGCATCATAGATGATGACAATGACAAACTCTCTCAAGAAATGCTATCAAATTTGTGCAGCGCCATGTCGGCGCATGTCTTAAATGCTTACAGAAAGGAGAAACTAAATACAGTTGAAGACATCGAATTTCTATATTGCAACGCACATTTTCTTCCGGGCCTGTCAAACAAGTGCGAAACTATTCGAGATATCGAAGCAGGGATCGAGTCGACAGTTGGACACCGACTGGGTCGAAATCAGTTGAAAAAATTCCAGTCATTCAAAGGAAGCGAGACCAGTACAGCTCGCGTGATAAGAACAGGTAGCGACTGTCTGGGACCCAGGGGCGATGAGAAGAGTGGTTGTCGAGAGGACTGGATGACATTCTGCAGCGAGTTCGGAATTAAGTCTGAAGTCAGTAGCTTCCGCATGAACCGATTTAACAACTTTTTTCATGGTGCAGGTGCCCTTTATCACCACAAAACTGATATTATTAAATTTTTATCTGGGAGCTACCTAAAGTCAGTTAACATGAAATTGGAGAGTGTTCGGGAAGACTTGAAGTCTCCAGAGATAGCAGCATTACTGCGAGCATTGGGAATCGTCTACTTCCGAGTAACTGGACTATACTGGAGTTTAATGAAAAGTGATACACACTATCTAGACATACACAAGTACATACAGCAGATGCTTAACATGCTGAAAATCTGGTCTGTGGATGCTTCACCATTGCTCTGTGAAAATGAGCAGTGTGTGTTTGCGAAGTTTGCTCTTGGACATGACGCAGTTTACAAAACTTTGTACTCCGAGGTTTCTCCAGCTGAANGGTGGCGCGGTGGTGGTGGTGTGTGGTGGTGGTGGTGGTGGTGGTGATGGTGGTGTGGTGATGATGGTGGTGGTGGTGGTGGGTCTGTGCTGCTGGTGGTGGTGGTGTTTGGTGCGGTGTTGTGCGTGGTGGTGTGGTGTGGTGGTGTGGTGATGATGGTTGTGTGGTGGTGTGTGGTGGTGTTGTTGTTGGCTGGTGTGTTTGTATTATTATTATTGTTGTTGTTGTTGTTGTTGTTGTTGATTGTTGTTGTGGTTATTCCCATTTCGCCATTTTCCACTTCGCCATTTGCCATTTCGCCATTAAAAATTCCCACTTCGCCATTTGCCATTTCGCCATTTTTCCGTTTCGCCATTTTCCAATCTTCGCCATTTTCCCATTTCGCCCAGTTTCCCACTTCGCCCAGTTTCCCATTTCGCAGTTTCCGTTCGCCAGTTTCCATTCCGCCATTTCGTCCTATCTCACGACCACCCCCTTGTTCGAGATGGGTTAAAAGTAGGCCTCTGTAATGAATAAAATTATAGCGAATCTTTAGATATGGAGTCAACTATTCATTTGAAAGAACAAGAAGGTGAAATCGTACATAATCAAAACATATGGATCATGGACAGGCACCCTAACCCTACCCTAACCTCAGCCCTAACCTAAACCTAAGCCCTAACCCTAACCCTAACCCTAAACCCTAACCCTAACCCTAACCCTAGAAATGACTCTTTTTTTTAAGAATGGAAGGATCAATTCGTGCAGGGGGTGGAAGCAACATAAAATATTGGCGAAATGCGGAAATTTGGCGAAGTGGGAAAATGGCGAAATGGGAAAATGGCGAATGGGAAAATGGCGAATGGGAAATGGCGAAGTGTGGGAAAATGGCGAAATGGGAAACTGGCGAAATGGGAAATGGCGAAATGGGAAATGCGAAGTGGGAAAATGGCGAAATGGGAAGACACCGTTGTTGTTGTTGTTGTTGTTGTTGTTGTTGTTGTTGTTGTTGTTGTTGTTGTTGTTGTTCATACACAGCGACACATACATTCGGTCGTTATTTACCTAACGATAAGGTGACACGACACTGCGCACATGACTCAGCTACTGTAAACGTCTATTTTTATACGTTACATGAATTAGTCAGTGGAGCTAGACGGGTAGTCGTTTTAGGCCATATTCCAGCTAGACAGCGTCGCCTCGACCAGATGGGCGCGTACATTGATGTATTAGGGAGAATGGCAGGACGTGGTTAGGTTAGACAGTTTCGAGAAGTCAGTGTGAAATTGGGGTAGGACGTAGTCTCTGATAACGGGTACATGTTCGGGCAGGATGTAGGGAGTTTGTGGGGGATATAGAGAGAGAGAGATGTAAGAGGAGGGGTGGTAGATTCGGTGGCTGGGAGCGAGCTGAGCCACGCGCGTATGCGCGTGTGCGCGTTCTTTGTCTCTTTGTGCGATGTGCTACAGTGTACAAGCTAATAAAGTTTATTCTGGTTACTACAACAAGTTTGACTTATATCTTCATCATTTCGACATCAACGCTCATTCCAACGTTACATTTTGGTGCCGTCGACAGTCCAAAACCTGGGTATCCTTTTGCGGACACAACGCAAGTTACTTCATATCGATACGGGCCAGCAACGAAACAGAGGGAGAATGACGAAGAGCGAGAGAGGGGAGGAAGGACGAAGAGCTAGTTCGATGATGAGATGGGAGAGTGTAGCCGAAACACTATTATCGATCTACGGGCCAGCAACGAAACAGAGGAAGGATGACGGAGAGCGAGAGAGGATCGGCTGGAAATCGAGAAGGAGGACTGTTGCTGACGCCGCGTCGTCAACGCTTATCAACGGAGAGGAGAAAGACGAGAAAGGAAGAATAGATTCCAACGAAGGACGAGAGGGATGCAGTCACACGGACGGAACAAGAACGCAAGAGATGAACGGGACGGAAATACTTAAAATGGGTATGTGAATCAATCTTGTGTCGGCATTTCTTTCGTAATTAAAGTGAAAACGTTAGTTATAAACGTTAATATCGAGGGTTTTTCCTGTATACACCATGCAAGCATGCACCATACGTTTTTTTTTATCCTGATACTGTTTTAGTTCAAAAGGTGCATGTTATGTTATGTCGATGGGTATATACTTGCCGAGCGGAATAAAACTTTGAATAAGGAACGCCGACACAGTTAATTGTTTCACAAGCTTACATGTGACATTGTATGTATGTATGTATGTATGTATGTATGTATGTAGGTTTATGGTTGTTTTATGAACGCGGTATTTTCTTCATGATATATGCTTCTAACCGTTTTTTTTTGTGTGTGGAAAATCTTTGTTGTGAAACTTTGTTTAGAAATTTGTGATCGTTTCTTGAATTTGTGCTAACCAGTGACGCGTACGTTTCCACTATATTGTTAGACCGCTGGACACATTTCTTCAATCAGGGTTTTGATATAGGCCTAAAACATTTCATCGACAATATGAAATCACTTTTGCGTATTTTTGTTGGTTGTACGATGTGTACGATGTGTGGAAGTGACAAAGGTGTCAGGTCTACGTCGGTGCTGTGATTAAGGCCTGTGTGCCTGGCGTGTTGCCCTGGGATTATGAGAGATTTTTGCCATAATCAGGCTTCTGATATAAGGAAGCACATGGCTTGAAACGTGGTTTCGGTAATGCGTGTTGGTACACGCATTCGCCACGTACGTTACAGCATAAAAAAACGCAAGAGTGATATTAATTGCAGCGATATCAGAATGTTCACTGTCAAATGTGTTGGGTTTCTGACTTATATTTTGGTCGAACTTTATCGTTACTTGTTTTCTACGCTTCATATGTGCTTTCTTATTGTATTTTGATTATTGTTATGTGTATTGATTGTGGGTGGTTTAATCGGACAGAAAGACGTTTCTCATGTTGGGTTGAGTTAGGAGGATATCAGGGTAGTATTTTTTTGAATTGGTTAGGTTCAGGTTAAAGTATAGAGCAGCGAGGACGCTGAAGCGATGACTACCTAGTCATCGTTTTGGGGCAAAGGGAGATGATGTAAACGTCTATTTTATACGTTACATGAATTAGTCAGTGGAGCTAGACGGGTAGTTGTTTTAGCCATATTCCAGCTAGACAGCGTCGCTCGGACCAGATGGGCGGCTGCATTGATGTATTAGGGAGAATGGCAGGACGTGGTTAGGTTAGACAGTTTCGAGAGTCAGTGTGAAATTGGGTAGGACGTTAGTCTCTGATAACGGTACATGTTGCGGGCAGGATGTACGGGAGTTTTGGGGGATATATAGAGAGAGAGATGTAAGAGGAGGGGATGGTAGATTCGGTGGCTGTGGGAGCGAGCTAAGCACTCGCGCGTATGCGCGTGGTGCGCGTTCTTTGTCTCTTTGTGCGATGTGGCTACAGTGTACAAGCTAATAAAGTTTATTCTGGTTACTACAACAAGTTTGACTTTATATCTTCATCATTTCGACATCAACGCTCATTCAACGTTACACTACACCTCCTGTCAAAGTCAAATGTCATATCATTCCGCCATAGAATGCTGCGATGAGTCACGCACTTGCACCAAATCATATAGCTCTAGCTTAGCTCAGCGCTCAGGAATAAATATATTTACAAACACGATCAGCTATAAACGGCAACCATGTTGTGCCATCCGACAACAGTATAATAATATAGAAGCAAAACCAATTGGCGAGTCGTTATAAATATGATCCTGCAGGGAACACCGCTGATTACGATGATGATCGTGGCGTATACTAATTCCAACATCATCATACAATTATGGACATCACTGCACGAGATATATTTCACTACGGTATTGCAATAACCATCATATATACGTTCGATGCATGATCATCATACTCGTACGCGGACCCCGCGGTAGAAACGCGAACAGCACACCACGAAGAAATACCGTGATATCATCCGATCCTGGAATCTGATGACCGGTTAGAACGCTATAGTGCGGCTACAAGTCTGGCAATGACCGCGTGTATATACGTTAACTACGGCGAATGTACGCGCTCACGATATGTACACACATATCAAGTGGCGAACAACCTGTTATACGGTATAAGATTAACATCTCGGCGTACATACCATGCCCATGCTACGGTTTGGTTGATGTTGAGATCAACTTACTAGAGAATTGCCACCATTGTATTGTATTATGTTGTGGTTTGCTGTATTGTCATTGCTGTTTTCATGGTGTAGAAAGATGTGATATAGGCCTACCCGGTCTTATCAGCACGTGCCTCTATTGCAATTACATTGCACCAAGATTGCACTCAAGCATTCCGCAGTCGCAGTAAACCCAGAATATAGACAGATAGGTAGCTGCGGATATCAAGCTCAATCAAACAATAAAATACATTAAAAGTTATATGTAGGGGGGTATATTCGAGCAAAACGAATATAGGTGCGCATGCTCTAACCAGTAGCAGATTAATATACGTGCAATTACACCTTATTGCAGATACGGCCATCCCCGGGAACTTGGGAATAAGCAACGCCACAATTCTTACGTTTGGAAAAAAAGTACTTGGTGATAAAACAGACTGTCTCGCAGCGTGCGATAGTTCCCGCAGACCGCGGACCGCTCGGTTTTCTGTTTGACACGCATGGACACAGCATCACATTACCAATCTCGAAAATATAGAATGTACAGCGTGGAATGGAGTACAGGGTACGCCGCACCGGCCCGTTATTGACTCACTACTTCAGTTCATATATCACTCGGCGCGTAAAATGTGCTCTTTCACTTTCGGAAATTATACGTTCATATCAGCAACTTCACAGCACTCTGTATTAGTGAGATTCACGTATTCACCGGTCTTCGAACGCAGAGGATAAAATTCCATCCTCTTGCCCTCGACACATTCCTCTGCGGTGAGTCATCAATTCTTCTGCATAATTGACTGCTCGATTTCTCACTGACACACATAAGCACAGTATTACCTTAACGCATGGTGTCATTAGGAAACAGCTGTTGCAGATGCATGCATTGTCGCGCTTGGACGTTCTAAACGACAATGCTTGACGACGAAGTGTCGCGTAGTTGACAACGTGGCGTGCACGCGTGAGAAACACGCGTATAATCGCTTCACCGACCTAGTACAATATAGCAACAACATCCAAAAAAGAGGGGCCCGCGTGCACGATTCTCTCGCGACCAATGTGTGTGTAGTTATCGAGGCGGATGGGTGAGTTCTCGTGGACGGTGTGATCGTCACTACGCGATCAGATCGAGGTATTCGGGCGTGTGCTTGCTAAGATGCTGCAGCTGGCGATGCAGATCTGACATGGAGATGCGATCGACGGGCTTCTTACTCCAACATCGCAGCATCAGCTGGTAGATGTGTTCTGGACACATGGTCGGACGGCTGAGGATGTGACCGCATTGTATGTGGTCGATTACCTGGATATATACGAAGGATTTTTCTATTGAAATCCGCAGTGTTGATCTGTCTATTTGATAAACTTTGCCTCTTTTCGTCTTCGTTATAGTCCCTTGCACTTTGAAGACTAATATTTACGAGGTTACGAGATTTGCGGATCGTTGCAATCCACTCGCTCACTAATAACATGTCAGAGTAGGGGTTGGCTATAGCGAGTAAAGTGAATGGCGTTATTGCTGTCTGCCGCGTTGTCGATCTCTCTATTTTCCCCCCCCTTCTGTGGTGCGCCCCACTCTCTAAATTAGAAGTATAATATGTTAAGAAATTTTGTTTTTTTCATTTGATAAAGGCTTGGCATACAAATGCATATATCACACAGTGCACACACACGTTGCCATCTGGTAGCCGGTTTAAACTGCATTAGTGTTGCGTCAGCCGGTGACACATTAGCATCATTAAAAAAAACATCGGGATTTGTTTTGCATGATAAGCTACTACGGCGAGTGTGTGCTCTGTTTTATAACCACAATTTTGAGAAATATAGGTCTCCGGCTAAGCTATAGTGAAATTTACGATATAGCTAATATTAATATTGATGGTGCGATTTATTATCCTAATATTATACGCTCGTTTGCCAAATATAATTCAAAGTATTCCTATTAAATGTAATCAGAAGTAGATAATAGGGAATTCCTATATATAGGTTCCCTATTATCTACTTCTGATGTAATCGTTCAGCATTAAGCCTATATACTGCTAAGACATCTATTACCGTGTGTGTGTGTGTGTGTGTGTGTGTGTGTGTGTGTGTGTGTGTGTGTGTGTGTGTGTGTGTGTGTGTGTGCGTGCGTGCGTGTTAGTGTGTGTGAGAGTGTGTGTGTGTGTGTGTTTGTATGTGTGTGTGCGTGCGAGTGTGTGTGTGTGCGTGCGTGCGTGTGTGTGAGAGTGTGTGCGTGTGCGTGTGCGTGCGTGCGTGCGTGCGTACGTGCGCGCGTGTGTGTGACAGAGAGAGAGGGGGGCAGAGAGATAACAGAGAAAGAGAGAGGGAGCGACAAAGAGAGAGAGAGAGAGAGAGAGAGAGAGAGAGAGCGGAAGGAAATTGGCACGACATTGACACGTGCGTTTGATGGTCGGCACTTATAGAACGATGTGTTTAATGTAGCGTGGGAGCGATGATGATCTCTTTTTATCGCGTTCGTACCTCATGGTTGGCCAGCTCATACCACGGCTGCTTGCCAAACGTGAAGATTTCCCACAGTACCACTCCGAAGCTCCACACGTCGGACTCGGTCGTAAATTTCCGGTACAATATGCTTTCCGGTGGCATCCAGCGCACCGGAAGCATCGTCTGACCTCCGATCTGGAATGAGACGAAGCAATATTGTCTGACGTCAGGCTAAGGCAAAAATTCGTCATCGAGCGTGACTATAGTTATGTTCACGCGCCGTGTTTTTTAGCAGTCAATAACCAGCGAGAATATTCTCTTTAGTTTTTTTTGTGTCTCCTTGTTAAAAGCAGCAAGTTCCAATCAATCATCGTCGCTGTCGGTGTTTGTCGCACACAGACAATGATCAGCAACGGCGTGCTTTTAATAAGGTGTGCATCTATTATTTTTTTCGCCCCGTAAAATCCAATGTACAGGGCCGTATCTAACGGAGAAAGGGGAGAGGGCAAAGGGAGCAGTTGCCCCAGAGAGAAATGTAGATAAATTACATGGTCAGTGGTGGTTACCTTCCCAGAACACACCACGCACGTGGCTTTACCCCTCCCCTAGACAAAGTGGGTTAGCTGCATTACTGCTGTACTTAGTAGATCTTAGGTTCAGGGTGTTCGGGTTATGTACAAAACCAAAGTTTTGTGCCACACCACCTCGGTGATCCTAAAAAGAAGGTAGGATCGAGGTACTGTTTCGTGTTACACGTAATTAAATAATTTTAAGAGCTTGCTGTGGCACTAAAAGAGAATAAGCGTTGACTGCACTCAAACATTCAGCGTCAAACACGATACGCCTCATTTAAAACTACTATAATAAGAGCTTTTCTTGCTAAAATCCTTCTAAATTAACTGTCGAAAAGTAAACAATGAATACGTGTTTCGGTTTGTGAATGCTTGAATTCTTAGTGATTGGTGAACCGTCCATTTAATATCAGTGCACTTGGGATTGTGCTAGGGGGATTATGGATTATTATCTTACTCTCCATGTACAGATACACGTTCCCCACCCTCTAATAATGTACCGACAATACAAACTACACCGAGCGAATACAACAATGCGCTCTCGTCTGCCAAGTACATGTATGCTGACGTCATGCTGACGTCATGCTACGTCAGCAGGAGAATTTCGCATCGTTATTGCCGGACTCTCAACATCTATTTGAAAACGTCGCTGTGTGCAATAGGAGCCGACAGCTGCCGACAGAGCGCATTAGAGCCAGCGTGATTATCATAGCGGGGAAATATTGCGTTACCCGATAATAGTCGTTACTGTAAATGTCGCGAGACATTCCGAAATCCGCGATTTTCACGGAGAGTTGGTCGCCGACGAGACAGTTTCTTGTCGCCAGATCACGATGAACGAAGTGTTGCGACGACAGGTACTGCATGCCCGACGCAATTTGGATGGCGACGTGTATCAGTTCTACGGAGCTGAGCTCATTGAACGAAGGACACTGACTCTTCGACAGGAGCTTAGCGTCCGGTCCTCGAGATCTGAAACACGCGTCGAGAAGAAAATCCATCTGTCGTTAGATTGTGTTTTTGGCTAGCTCTCTCTCTCTCTCTCTATGTATATATATATATATATA